GGTGAGTTCTAGTGCCACCTTAGACATGAAATCTAATCGGATGACTTTGGTCCAATCACCAGGCGACGGTGAGTTCTAGTGCCACCTTAGACATGAAATCTAATCGGATGACTTTGGTCCAATCACCAGGCGACGGTGAGTTCTAGTGCCACCTTAGACATGAAATCTAATCGGATGACTTTGGTCCAATCACCAGGCGACGGTGAGTTCTAGTGCCGCCTTAGACATGAAAGTCAATTGGATGAGTTTGGGCCAATCACCAGGAGACGGTGAGTTCTAGTCCCGCTTTAAGCGTGAAAGCCAATTGGGTGACTTTGGTCCAATCACCAGGCGATGGTGAGTTCTAGTCCCACTTTAGGCATCAAAGCAGACCAGGTGAGTTCTAGTCCCCTCACAGGGTTTTTCTTAGGTGTTAAATAGGTACATCGGATACGTTCGCTGCCTTGAATTATTCATAAAGACAGGTGGTTACATGAATAGATACAGCTCAATAAAATGAACAATAAACAAGATAATAAATACACCACAACTTGCCTGTCCTGTCCTTCTCTCGCCACACCTTCTGAACCCAGCCCATGAGGGAATCCTCCTTTCTCCCCGGCCTACCCCGCAAGGCTGTTGGTTGGGAAGACCACAGATGGGGACAAAACCAATTCCTCGGATTAATTGCTGGATCTCCAATTCCCCCCCTCTCCTCCAAAATCCGCCCGGCAGGTTGTAGAGAGAAGGGAGCCTCCTGTCTTGATCCCGGAGCTCCCAGGAAGAGCCGGGCGTGGGAGTCTCCGCCGAAGCTGGCTTGCTAAAGCTGTCGCAATGTTCAAACCTTGGTTAATCATCAACCATCATCGGCCCAAGATGGGCGCTTCTGACGGCCCAGACCTCTTAGGCACAAATCAGAAAAACCGATTCGTGCCAGATCTTGCGCCCGGTTTTTTACGCGGCCTGGAGGACTTTACACCTGCGAGCAGCCACGAGAAGGTGGCGTAAGAACTGACCCACAGCTGGTGCCAAGGCCAAACCCTCGATTTGCACACACCGACCTGGGAGTTGACGTCCTCGCCTCTTTGAGTTGCCAAGGCTGGGGGAAAGGCTGCTTCGACATCCCCCAGCCGGTGTCTAAGAGGCTGTGTGTTCCCAGAACAAACTCACACTCCTTACACAAGGATTGTTCGCAAGCACAACCTTGAGTTCTCACACTCACCGAGGCTCAGTTGCGATGAGCAAAGTTCGTGGGTCTCTGTGTTGGGATGAAATCATCTGAATATGCCTTAGAACAGTGTTTCTCAACCTTGGCGATTTGAAGTCCNAATTTCCTGACAGTGAGGACAATTAACCAGTGGAACTGCTTGCCTCGGGAAGTTGTGGGTGCTTCATCACTGGTGGATTTTAGGAAGAGACTGCACAGCCACCTGCCTGAAAGGGTCTCCTGCTTGGGCAGGGGGCTGGACTAGGAGACCTCTAAGGTCCCTTCCAAGTTCTGTTATTTTATTATTCTATGGATGGATGGATGGGAGGGAGGGAGGGAGGAAGTGAAAATAAGAGGAAGGAAGGAAGGAAGGAAGGAAGGAAGGAAGGAAGGAAGGATGGAAGGAAAAATAAGGGGAAGGAAGGAAAAATAAGGTGAAGGAAGGAAGACGGGAAGGATGGAATGAAGGAAAAAGGTGAAGGAAAAGGGAAAAAAAGGAAGGAAAGAAGGAAGGAGGGAAGGATGGAATGAAGGAAAAATAAGATGAAGGAAAAGGGAAAAAGGAAGGAAGGAAGGAGGAAGGAAGAAGGGAAGGATGGAAGGAAGGAAAAATAAGGTGAAGGGGAAAAAAGGAAGGAAGGAAGAAGGGAAGGATGGAATGAAGGAAAAATAAGGTGAAGGAAGGAAAAATAAGGTGAAGGAAGGAAGGAAGGGAAGGATGGAATGAAGGAAAAATAAGGTGAAGGAAAAGGGGAAAAAAGGAAGGAAGGAAAAAGGGAAGGATGGAAGGAAGGAAAAATAAGGTGAAGGAAGGAAGAAGGGAAGGATGGAATGAAGGAAAAATAAGGTGAAGGAAAAGGGAAAAGAAGGAAGGAAGGAAGGAAGGAAGGAAGAAGGGAAGGATGGAATGAAGGAAAAATAAGATGAAGGAAAAGGGAAAAAAGGAAGGAAGGAAGGAAGGGCAACGGGCGTAAACCAATCAAGGAGAGAAGCAATCTGAAGCTAAGGAGAATCATCCTGACAGTGAGGACAATTAGCCAGTGGAACTGCTTGCCTCAGGAAGTTGCGGGTGCTGCATCACTGGAGGTTTTTAAGGAGAGGCGGGAGAACCACTTGTTTGAAATGACAGAGGGTCCCCTTCTTGAGCAGGGGGTTGGACTAGAAGACCTCGAGGGTCCCTTCCAACTTTCAATTATTCTGCANCAGCCCCTCAAATATTGGAAGATGCTATCATGTCCGTCCCCCCCCCAGTCCTTCTCTCTTTGTGGATTTCCCCCTCCCCAAATCTACATTATTTCCCCTCTTAAATTCAAGCTTATTTGTCCGGTTTCAAGCCGCACCATAAGATAAAATTCAAGCGAGGGCTTGCAAAATGGAAAAACCAGCTGCCTCTACACACCCCGAATCAGCATCCCAAACTCTTCTTGAAGGGAGAAAGGCCCAAATACTGTGGAAAAGACTTTCTCAGTCCTAAAATTGATGCTACACATTCTTTTTAAAAAGGGGGGTTGTGTTACAATCCAGAGTATAGACTCCTAGGGGTGGAAGGGACCTTGGAGGTCTTTTAGTCCAGCCCCCTGTTCAAGCAGGAGAGCCTATACCATTCCAGATAAATGCTTGTCCGTTCTTTTCTTAAAAAGCCTCCAGTGATGATGAAGCATCTACGGCTTCTGGTGGCAAGTTGTTCCACTGATTAATTGTCCTCCCTGTTAGGAGGTTTCTGCTTATTTAGAGATTTCTCCTCTCCTTGATTAATTTCCCTTTTCTTTTCCTTTTCTCCTGTTCCTCTTTGCGAAGCCGCCCGGAGTCCTCCAGAATTGGGCAGCATATAAGCTCATTAAATTACGAATTAATTACAAATACCCCCTCCCTTCTAGCACTGATGATGTTCCCTAGTTGGGGCATGAAACGCCTGCAAGAAAACTCAGAGAGCACCAAGGCGGTGGTGAAACCCTATATTTTTTTTTTACTACCAGTTCTGTGGGCGTGGCTATGTGGGCGTGGCAGGGGAAGGATCCTGCAAAATCCCCATTCCCACCCCACTCTGGGGCCAGTCAAAAATGGCGTTTGCCGGTTCTCCAAACTACTCAAGATTTCTGCTACCGATTCTCCGGAACCTGTCCGAACCTGCTGAATTTCACCCCTGTGCCAAGGACTCTCCCAGTCCTCCTCCTTCTCTTCTTCCTCCTCTCCGCAAACCCCACTCTCTTCTAGCACTGATGACGTTCCTTAATTGGGTTTTGAAATGTCCGCAAGAAAACCCCCAAGCTCAGAGAGCACCANAGCACCATAAGAGTTGTTGAGGGCATACGAAATGCGGTTTATTTATTTATTATTATTATTATTATTTTGTCAACGCTTCCCTTTCGTTGGGGGGCGGGTGGGCTCTTGTTCGCTCTGCCTCCCTGGTGGGGAAGGGGAGATCTCGCTAAAGGGAGACCCCACCAAGAGGGGATCCCACCGACTAGAATCCTGTTGAGCAAAAGGAAAAAAAAAAACACACCACCTTCTCCAACCTGGTGCCCTCAGCTAAGACCCATCGCGACTGTCCAGTTATCGGTCCGGACGTCTATTCCTTATAGATTCTTTTGGCTTTTGAACAAAATTCGGTGAAGGAAATCGGACAGCCGGGAGGCACCAGGTTGTAGAAAACCAGTCTGGAAAAAGATGGGAGAGATAGAGGATTAACAGACCCGCCTCGCCCCCGAATCTTATCCCCCGAAAAGGCAGCAGGGTACAGACCCAGGTGTCCCCCCCCCCAAACCGTGCACCTCAATTTGATGGTGCAAATCAACCCTCCATTTCTGGTTTAGAAAGAGCCTTACTAAAATCTCCATTTCCCCCCCCCCCACTTTGTGTGTGTGTGTGTGCGTGTGTGTACAGCGTGTCCAAAAGAACCCCTTCCCCGTTTTAAAATGAGTGCATTAGGATGAGTTTAAAAAGCCATTTTTAGAAAAAAGAAAGGTGACTCTGTATCACAATGAAGAGATGCCGATGCAAGGAGAAACCCCCTCCCCTCCAGAGGTGGATGGCGCCTTTTGAAAAGGGGGGGGGCGTATGTGTGAATGTTAGCACCTCTAGCTGGGAACTTTCTCCCCCGCCCCCCCCAATGGCTTGGTTGCAGACCGCCCTGGGGAGGGGGCTCCCGCCGGCTTGGGAGTTGACCCAGAAAGAGCAGGGGGGGAGGGGGGTGTCCCCTCCTTCCGGCGACAGCTCAGTGGGCCAGAGCCCCCATGGGATCCCAGGCGGGCAGGGAAGTGGGCTCCTGTTGCAAGACTTCCAGGACCTCCTCCGGGACGTGTTTCCGGTCGACGACCACTTCGTACACGAACTCCGAGAACCAGTCGTCCGTCATGAGTAGGTAACCTGGAAGGGAGAGCAGGAGGGAGGGTGGGGTGGGGGGAGAGTCAGATAGTATTCTGACCGAGGTCTCCCAAGAACCTGAAGCAAAACTCCTGGTCCCAACAAAAAAAATCATTTTATTAATTTACTCTGAATTCTGCTCCTTCCCATCCAGCAAAGTCTTTCAAGGGAGGATTTACGGTCACAGACCTTATCTGGCTTGGAGAGCTGCCAGGTTGATATCTGCAGAACTTGGCAAGGAGTCTCGGAGAGTCCCGAACCAATTAAGTGAACTAATTCTCTCCTGCAAACTCCACTCCCTTTTCACTCCTCTTTTATTCCCTCTGGGAGGGGCCATTCACCGTCCACCTGCGTCCTTACTCCCAAGTGGAACTACTTGTCTCCTGCAAACTCCACTCCCCTTTCGCTCCTCTTTTATTCCCTCTGGGAGGGGCCATTCACCCTCCACCTGTGGCCTTCCTCCCAAGNATTCTATTCCATTCCATTCCTGTATTCTGTTGTATTGTATTGTATTCCCTTCTCTTCCATTCCATATATTCTATTCTATTCTATTCTACATTAGGAATTCTCCCCCTCCATTCTGCGCAGGAGAAACTGGCCCGTCAAACAAACCATTTCTTGAACCCGGCACTGTGATTTAAGATCCACTTCACAAGAGCTGCAGAAGTATCCACTTTTGCTTATCTGGTAAAATTCCCTTTTTAGGAGTAATCCGAAAAACTGAAACAGTGGAATGTTCTTATCTACCTTCACTGCTCTTTAAGCCAGGTTGCCTCCTGTCCTCTCAAACCATGGTAGTTTATTCCAAAAATCAAGCCAACTGCAGGAGACGTATCTTCTGCTGGGGGGACCTTGAAGAGATGGATTAAGCTGTGGGTGCTCCAGAAAGCAATGGGTGGAAACTAATCAAGCAGGGAAGCAACCTCGAAATAAGGAGAAATTTCCTAACAGCGAGGACAATTAATCAGTGGAACAACTTGCCACCAGAAGCCGTGGGTGCTTCATCATCACTGGAGGCTTTTAAAGAAAAGAACGGGCAAGCATTTATCTGGAATGGCATAGGGTCTCCTGCCTGAGCAGGGGGTTGGACTAGAAGACCTCCAAGGTCCCTTCTGACTCTGTTATCCTAGGATCTAAATGCTTTAATTAAAGAAAATAATTAATCCTGTTTTGTTTCTACTTGGAAACTGCTTGTGGACTCAAAACAACCATAAAAAAAAAGAAACTTTGATTTTTTGATGATTCTATTAACTATAGTTAGGTAAATGCTTAAAAAATATGTTAAAGCAAAACGTTGAGACCGTAATTGCCTTTTGTATCAAAAAAAAAGGAGAATTTTTGTAGCTCAAGGTTGAACCATGGTTCTCTCTGAGCTTGGGAGTTTTCTTGCAGATGTCTCATTACCCAACTAGCTAACACCATCAGGGCTAGTATATTTTGTATTCTACTGCAGTGTTTCTCAACCTTGGCGACTTTAAGTCTCGTGGACTTCAACTCCCAGAATCCCCCAGCCAGCTCTGGGAGTTGAAGTCCACGGGACTTAAAGTCGCCAAGGTTGAGAAACACTGTTCTACTGCACTGGAAAAAGTTGGAAGTCACTGCTATTTTTCCTCCCTCTGACATCGTACCCCCTTTTCCTTCCCTTACACTCCGATTATCCTTGGTTTTATACGTATTTTATATTATAATAAACGTCCATAACATTTGAAAAAAATAAATAAGAAGAAACAAACTCGCCTATGTCATTTTTCTGGGGTCTCAAGGAGTTTTTCCACGCAAAATAAACCAGCAGAGACACTGGATTTTTTTTACAGAAGATAGAGTCGGAAGGGACCTTAGAGGTCTTCTAGTCCAGCCCCCTGCCTAGGCAGGAAACCTTATACCATTTCAGACAAATGGATATCCAACATCTTCTTAAAAACTTCCAGTGCTGGAGCATTCATACCTTCGAGCCGAGGTGGCACAGTGGTTAAATGCAGCACTGCAGGCTACTTCAGCTGACTGCATTTCTGCAGTTCGGCTGTTCAACGGTGGAGACTCTGGTTGCTGCGTGGCACTCGGCAGCATCGGAGACCCTCGACCGGATTGCGCCACTGCGGCCCC